ATATTTCATGGGAAATACTGTTCAATACTAATGCATACTTAATAAGGAAAACTTTTTCTCGAGTTTTTGATCTGCATTTCTCAACTTTGACCGTAAATACTTTGTCTCAGGCCGTATTCATGTGAGCCATGGGCAAGAACTATAATAGGTGTGGAGTTAGAAAGGTTTTGGAGGATTTTGAAGTAGAGGATCAAATAGGGTCTAAGTCTTTTCCATAGTGGTTCTAGTCCTATGATATGGCATCAGGAACTGTGATCAATGAATGAATCGGTCTTAAATATTTCGCGGGTGAAATCTTATTGTATTCCTTCCACCTCAAGTATATCGGAGAGGGGTAGGTTGGAAAACAAGAACGAACAATACACAACGGTATTTCTTACTTATACCCCGCAAAAATGAGTTTAAACTTATTCTTAAAGAGGTTACGAATAATTAAGACTGTCAATTTCCTCATTTTAGACGCTTTGGTGGAGATATGTTTAAAGAAGTTAAGATTGTATGGATATTTCACTCCTAGGTCAATTACTGATATGAGTTTTGGCAGTGTGTTCCTGTTAAAAGTTAATTTTATTTTAATAGACATTTCTCCAATACATATGCAACCGCATTTCTCTGTGTTGAGCTCTAACCTGCAGCGTTTGCACCAGTTGTCCACCATGTTGATTTCGCGCTGGGTTGTTTACATAGTACCATGTACATCGCATGTTTTAGTTTTGAGTCATCAGTGCAAAGGTAAATCTTACCTGTGTTAAAGCACCTGCTTATATTGTTGATAAAGGTTGTAAAAAGCAATAGGCTCAGACACTACCTTGCACAGCGCCACTGGTTATTGGTCGAGGTGTAGATGTTGTAAGGTTAATTTTGGTCATTTTATATCTGTTCTTGATACAAGACTAAGTCCATTGTAATGGGAGGTTTGCAACTCCAATTGATTGAAGTCTGTTGATTGGGCTGTTATGATGTACTTGGTAAAAAGCTTTCTTGGTGCTGAAATACAGCATAATCACTAGCTTTTTTGGCCACATATGCGAGTAAACTAGTTGAAGAAGTTTATCAAGCATGTGCCGCAGGACCTTGTTCTAATGAGGCCGTATTGTGACAGGTCTATTAGATCTTCCTTAAAAGGGTGATTAAATGGTTGATCTTGTGCTATTCCATTATGCGTGCTATGACAGGGGTGACATTTATAGGTTTGTAGTTTTCTATCAGGTTTCTCGGTCCTAATTTGTGTTTGAGAAGAACATGCGTTACTTTCCAGGTTTCGGGACATGTACCTGCCTCTAAAGATAACGTAAATATTTTGAGTAACAGTGTTTGTATTTCCGGTCCGGCCATTTTATAAAGAAACTATGGGAAGTTACCAGCACTATAACCAGCATTCGGCTCAAGGGTTTTGATGGCGACGTGTTTATTACTAAGGTCAAAATTGATGGTACTAAGATGATTTTTCGCTGATGCACTTGATGTTAGAATCTGGGGCATAAAATGTATTCCCACTGTGGGAAGACCATTTACTTAACAGTTCAGTTGTGGCGCATATAAATCATTAGTGCAAGCAAACATCACATCTCCCACAGCTTAAATGAGAATCCGAATTTCTGCAATAAATTGTACCTCTTCTCCTAAGGTTCATCATGTGTCCGCCTGACTGTGTATTTTATTTAGACTCTGTGTGTTCTAGATAATACCCAGCAGTATTAGAATTAACGACCGAAATCGGAACGGACTCATCTGGTTCCTGGAATTGTATACAATCACCATGTCGGTCGTATACTTAAACCACTGGTGCCCAGAATTTGAACTATAGGTCTTCCAACACTATCCTCCCCCATGAAATAATGTTGGACCTCTAAAACTCAAGTTATAAATAATTTGGCTTCATTCAAAATATATTTACCACATTGACTACAGTACTCAATGTAAGTGATTTCATGATAAGCATAAACAACATATGATATGAAATCATCTGAATCATAACCATAATCGGGCTCATTTAGAACTCATGTTCCGCATTGAACAAGTTTTCTGAAATAAGAAAATGCGATACAAGGCCAAATAACATTTAACATGGATTTGATTCTTCTGAAATGTTTTCTTCAAATTTATTAGGAATGTCATCTTAGAATAACTGGTCATATTATAGAAATCAGCATCTAACAAGATTGCATCAGATTTTTGATCAGAGTTCGAGTCATTCAACATATTTTCCTCAGATTTGTTAGAAATTTGTTAGAAATATGTGGATCATAAAGGCAAACCATATCTGGTACAACAGCGTTATAAATCTGAACAGGATTTGGTGCACTCAACATATCTTCTATACATTTGCAAATAATTTCATTAGAAATAGATGAATCATGAAAAGGATGTATATCTGATAAAATAATATCATGCATCTGCTCAGAGTATTATTTATTTGAAACGTTCAGCTTAGTAGGGTCGGAATTTCTAAGTCTAGCATTTTGTCAATCAAAATGGATAGTAATTTAACAAGGTGATTGTATGTATCCAATTTACCATATTTAAAACGTTTAGCATCACGAAATACACATGAATTGCGGAGGTGAACATTACCTTATGACAAACATTTACTAAGCTTGTGCTGATCTCCATGACCTGATTCTCGTTTCCCCAGTGAATTATGCGCATAATCTTGAATGCATATTGTATTGAGAAGATGTAATGTAGTGCAATTCTTGATGTCCTGACGAATAATTTCATGAAGCTTTCCATCCTTACAGTATTCACAATTTGTATATTTTACGTGGACTGGTAGTAGTTCCTCGTGAGTTGCATAAGAAAGTAAGATGGGCTTTTCTGAGAATGAAAAAGCTTCCAGTAAACTTTAGGCTTCTTTTTTGATGAATGTAAGAAAGTGAGCCACAACAATAACATTCTCAAAGTCTTCCTTGATCATAGTCTAGACTTCGAACCTTTCCATGCAATCCTCAAAAACGTCAAAATTTGAGTGTAAATCTACCTTTTCCATCACACGCTACATCGCGACTCCACTGTGATGACTGGAAGTATTCGAATTATTATGCGAACCAGGAATCCCCGAAGTAGCGCAGTTTAGACTGAACAGAACTAGATGAGAGCAAACGGACTTGCTGTATTTAAAATTCAAAACCAGATAGACCTAAAGTACTAATGAATAATTATTTCGGACAAACATCCCATGAGTTGGTCTATGAGTGATCTGCTCTGAAACAATTGTTCTGGTTTGCATTAAATCGATCACTTATATGCGTACATATTGGTTGATGGTGTACTTAAGGCAGCTGCAAGTATCAAGTTTGAGAAATATAGAAATCGGTTTGTATGAAATTGAGTGATTATAACGCGCTGAAACCGACAAACCTTATTTACCGCAAATATGGATGACAAAGCGTGCATTACAAAATGATAAACAGTGAGTGCTGCTCATGTTATTATAACGGAGAGAATAATTCGTAACCAAGAGGCGTACAACTTCTTACTCTTGTCTATGATAATGGCTTGAACCTTAGGCAATACTGGAGTAAATTCGACTGTCGTGTTTTGCTGGGCTGCTTATACTGATGGTTTGCATGCGTGATTGTGTCGCTGAAGCTACAATTAAATTTGACAAGGTTCTAAGGTGCTCAATAAATGAGCAAGTGATAGAGAAATATACTGAAATCATCGATAACAGATAAAGATAACCATAAGTAAACAACACTATTTAGTGATTACTATAAGTCAACTTATCGGTCGAGTTTGAGTCGACAGTTTCATTAATTTCATCGGTCGCATTACGTGACTGTCAAGTTATGACAATGCTTTATAGCAATATCCGAAAACCATTTGGAGGAACTAGTTTTACTGTTGATTAGGGGTTAGCCACTGGAAAATGGGTATTATTGTTCTAGGCGATTCATAAATATCAGACGTTTGTAGCGTTAATGGCCTAAACCTGCATAGTTATATTACGAGTTGAGATCCAGAAACATTCTTCCCTTTATTTTGAACTCTTGCTTGACTAGTAACGACATGATGGTCAAGTTATTATGTCAGTGCAGTACGATAATATCTTAATGTGGTGACTTTTTTATTTTACATATATTGAACATCTTTTTAGGTGACTAAAATAATAACCCAATTTACAAACCAAAATGCGCATAGCATTAACTACCATGGTGGATTAAGTGGAAAATGTTAAGGATGGTTCAAATACTCGCATAGCTCAAATAGCACAGAGAAAATATAACGTATTTATGAGTTAGGTCGACGTGTAAGTCGATATGGAATGTAGAAACTGAAAAACCTGAAAACAGAATTTTAAATTTTAGACATGAACTGTGGTATGAAAGTTAGAAACATAATGGAGATGATATAGACTTTTCCTACGTTTTTGTGGTCAGCTTGATGACGTTTATAAATATGAGGTAACGGTTTTTAGAACTAAGAAATACCAGACAAATGCTAAATCTAGAATGCTCCGCCGGAAAACAACGCACATAATTATATTAGTATGTGGTCGTAAAGAGCCATTATATGTAAAGATGCCACAAGTATTTGGAGTTTGACAACACCTACACCAGTAACACGTTCTATAATTCAAACGTGCCAATCCAGTGAAATAAAAAGTCAGAAGCGAAGAGGTTCAAAGTTATATTTGATAGGCTATCAACAAATTGCGAAGTGATTTATCTAATCTGGCTAGCGGTTGTATTGGTGTAGCACGGCATATCCACCCGTTATCTGGTGTGGATGCGTGAACAAGCGCCTTCAGCTTGTTGAGTCAAGTAAAACTAATGCGGTCAGGATAAAATGTTGAAGATATACAGAGCTATTGATTCTGGAGATTTATTTCCTGCTACATTACTAATATCATCATTTAAAATGGGATATGTTTGCACAATTCTTTTGCATCTATATCATCCGATCTACGTATTATATCAGTCGGTAGGTTGGCCAATATAACTCATGAATTCGTGTTCAAAAACGATTATTTATTTTCGCCAAAGGTACTCTTGTTATACTGTAGCGGTGAAAAAATCCCCGAAATCAATAGCTTTGTAAGTGTTCGACATTCGTTGCTGACCACACTAGTTTTAATGAACTCATCTAGCGGAAGGAGCTCAGTCATGCATCCGCACCAGATCACGAGTTGAAACTGAGTTCTCAACGTCTCTTACCATCACTAGCCAGTTTGGATCAATCACTTCTCGATATATTGAGAATCTATCAAATATATCTTCCAACCTCCTTGCTTCTGGCAATTGATTTCACTGGATGGGCGCGATTCAATTATAGGTGTTACTGGTAAAGTGCTGTTGAACTACAATACCAGTGGTATCTTCAATACCATTAGGGCTCCCACAACTCAGGGTTTTAAAAAAACCTAGATAAGGGACTTTAAATATAAATTCAATGTAGAGTAAAAATAATGCATCGGTTATGCGATTTAATGATGAAGGCTTTCGAATTCCAACCATTAATTAGAAAGTTCAGTTTCTTATTCACTCCTTTCAATTTATTTATTTATGTAGTATCATTATTCCTCTCCTATAAGCAAGATTTGTTTAATGCATTTGCTTTTATTGCACTAAAATAAAGGTCGAGAGAAAGCCCCGTTAAATGTAATTGTTTCGTTACGGAGGTACTCGTGCAGTGAGTACAGTTTTCAGTCTTCAGTAATAAGTAAAGGAGGTCTATTGACCTATTTTGACCCTTACAGTCTGTTACACTTTGAAGGCTCAATCTCGTCTTGAATATATCAACAGATGATGATGATAATGCGTGTTCTGGTAGAGAATTCCAGTAATTCACTATCCGGTGCCAGAACCGAAAGTCTAGACACAGACGATTTGATCTCGGTTTTTGAACATTTGAAAGTCCTCTCAAATAATCAGCCGTAGATGAAAGGAGTCTACATGGTCGGGGCAGAACACTGTTATCGGCCCTTTTACCTATTCTAACCAATTTTCTGACCTGAACACATTTCATGTTATCTAGTAATATGCTACGGATATATTCTCCGAGCCTCTCTAAGTCATGGGTGTGTCTAACTTTAGGATCTGGATCGTTTGACTCTGGCAGTTTACTCACAATAATATTTGATGATATTAAGTTCCTCTTGGTCGCACTAGGGTGATGTTCTGCCGTTCTACCAGAGTGTGATAGTGCATTGAGTGACTCAGAATGCGAGTACCCCAATGACTTGTCAACGAAGTGTGTTTTATCTTCAGCTTTTTTCCTTTTCCTCCTTACTGCGGTCCATTTTTCATCATTCAGGACAGCCACATTGGGACTATTGGGGACGGTGACGGTTTTATCCGGGTCCTCAATTTCTACTGAAGATGCATGATTACTCATGTCAATATCAAGTGGTGAATAACTCCCTGTCAGTTGTAACGGAAGTTTCACTTTGCCATTATTAACAGTAGGTTGTTTAACGCGTTTTGTAACAGCACTTACAACACTGACACAGTCTTCACTGTCAGTACTTGTGTTACTGGTGCACCCACTATCGTTCTTTTTACAGGCTAGATCTAATAGGCTCATAGCCCCCTAAATTAATATCGTCTTGTCAGTGCAGCAGAACATACAAAGCCAGTGCGAGTTAGGGTCAGAGCATCTTTTGTATGCAGCTGGACTGAGACTGGTACACATCTTGTGGAACCACTTTTTGCATTCATCACACTGCATCCCTTCATCTACGGGGAATAAACAGTTCGGCTGTCCACATCTGAATGCACTGCCAACCGTTAAAACACAATAATAACACAAGTGTCAGAGTCTATGCAAAAGAAGGTACCACGAGTCAAAGTTTTCAACATTTCAAACCTTAACTCAAATAATTCAGGCTAAAGTAGACCAAAAATGCTTTTTGATGAAACAAATACACAAAAGCAACGAGAATCACAACAAGTACGAAATGCAGGTATGTTATTTGTTGAGTTAGATGGAAATGAATCATATTAAATAATCATGAGTATGATATATCTTACTCAAACTATTTCGGTTTTAGATTTTAACGCCTTCATACAAATCCCTGCGAAACTATTGAGTCTTCATAATTTACAAGATGCCAAAGCAGATTGTATTTCTACATCCAGACCTTGGTATAGGTGGTGCTGAAAGACTTATAGTGGATTCGGCAGTAGCGTTGGAGTCATGTGGTTATGATGTCAGCATTATTACAAATCATCACGACTCTAAACATTGTTTTGAAGAAACATTACAGTCAAATCTGAATGTTACAGTTGTAGCTGATTGGTTCCCTCGGTCCGTCTTTGGTTACATGACAGCTCTATGTGCGTATATTCGCCTCATCCTTGCAACACTATATTTAATATTTTATGAGAAGAAACCGGATGTAACATTTGTTGATCAAATATCAGCCCCTATAATTCTACTACGGGCTGTGGGATACAATGTAAGTTCATCTACAAATAATATTTCTTGATTCGAAGACAATATTTTACTGTCATTTTCCGGATTTACTATTGACGAAAAATAGAAATTCCTTATTGAAGAAGTTGTACCGACTACCCATTGATTATATTGAGCAGTTGTCAACTGGAATGGCCGATATTGTTCTTGTTAACAGTAAATTCACATGTGAGTTATTTACTTATTTATCCTATCACTTAAACTGTGACCAGTCTGACAGTGAATACGTACATTTTAGTGTGAAATACACTGCTAATAAATAAATAATCCTTGTTTACTTTAACTTTTATGAAGAGGATTTGATGAACTAGTTCTTTGGTTGTTAAGTGGATGTTCCAAATAGTAAGCAGTGGATGATACGCACTGGCTGAGTAAACGAACTAAACGAAGTTATCTATGGTATCAAGATAAAGTACACCTACCTGGTAGGATCAACTGCATCATTAACCAGGAGCATATATATGCGTTGTCTTAATCTTCCACACCACATTATGACGAGTTGAAATTAACCAGACGGATTGCAGAGACGATCTAAAGAATGTAGTAGCAATCGTAATGAGAAAGTCTAACCATCGAGATTATGATTTGAAGAGATAGAGTGGAAAGATATATATGAAGTGGCAGTGGAATTCCAGATTGAGAGGTATGTGAAGGGTAAATCCGTCCATGCTATTCTGAATGGTTCTAAGCTACGCCACTTAAAGTCTCCAAACACTGATCCTGGTTATCGTGCAAATCCCAACCAGTTATTCTGGATATATCAACATAGGTCAGACCAACAGTAAGCGATTTCATGGACTTGTGTCATATCTTGATTTGGCTTTCCCTAGTTTTCTTCTAAATGACTTCTTTTCTGTATGGTGATGATTTTTTATTTATTTGAACACAAACATTGGTACAAAGGGGCACCAAATACATGTGCGTCACACTAATATTGAGATCAATAGCAGTTATCGTTGATTTGTGTGAGACCTGGAATACTGCCCAGGTACCCAGACCGAAACAGGTGGTTTTCCTACGAGGCCACACCCGGAGCCTTTAACCTGAATGTCTAATCCACAAGTCAATGGAGCACCATAAGGAGATGCAGTCCCATGGAAGCCAGTGACCAACAATTGGTTCATACCCCATTTGTTCCCCCAGGATCCTGGAGTCCATGTGCACCATAGGTTTGGAATCAGGGTTTTCTAACTCCCCTAGGTGGAGTCGCAGTGTCCACCAACCCGGTCAAAGCACTGGACATTCGCTTTTCGTCCTCTCACTTTCGTGAACAACAATAATGCCGCGAGAAGGCAGTGAGTAGGGGTTGTATACACGTGGCCATGTGAGAGCATTTGGAGAGGGAGAGCTGACTCTTCATACCCTCGGCTGTACCAGCGCATTCGGGGTAGCCGCCTGTTGGGAGTGGGGTTCGAAACCACACGAGGATACACCCTATTGTCACTTAATAAATTCACTAGAATGTTGTCCGCTTGCTCCAATGCCCTCTATGTGTGTTGATACTGATTAACCCACGCAAATTTATTTTGTCCTCACACTTTCCAATAAGAATATATTTAAAACTAACAGATTAACTTCGTTTTTTTTTCGAAACTTAAAAATTTACATTAACCAAGTGACCACAATTCACCACTAATAGTCTGTACATAAGAAGAAGGTATATAATCAGTTAATTGTAATTTATGGACGATAAAAGATATATTAAGAGGTAATGAGTCAGTTGACAACTTAAAATTCGGACAATAGAAGAATACCACAAAATTTTATTTTTTTATACACATCAATATTGGTACAAGGAAGCACCAGATACATATGCGCCACACAAATCTCATTTGATTTGTGTGAGGGCTGTGATACTGCTCAGGTGCCCAAACTAAAGCAGGTGGTTTTCTTAGGGGGCCACACCCCGAGCCTTTGACCTAAAGGTCTGATCTACAAGGCAGTGGAGCATTGTGAGGAGATGCAGTCCCATGGTAGTCGGTGACCAACGATCGATTCATAAGCCATTTGTTCCCTCAGGATACTGGAGCCAGTCCATGTGCACCATTGGTTTGGAATAAGGGTTTTCCAACTCCCCTAGGTGGACTATCCGTGTCCACCAACCCGGTTAAGGCGCCGTACATTGGCTTTTTGTCCTCTCAATTTCGCAAACAACAGCAATACCACGAGAAGGTAGTGAGTAGGACTTCCCTGACTGAGGCTGTAAACGCGTGGCCATGTGAGAGCATTTGGAGAGGGAGAGCGGACTCTCGACCGTACCAGGGCATTTTGGGGGCACCATAAACTTAGTATTTAGCAAATACAATAAAACTATGTAAGAATCCACCGTCTTCAAAGTTTCACTTATTCCTGTCAAATATGCTTAGTTGATCAAGTAAATTTAGACTATACGTATTATTTCACTCTAAGTTTTCTAACGTCTCTTTTTTCTGAAACATCTACTTTATTATTATTATTATTATCGTTGTTTTTATTATTACTCTTAAACTTCAGCTAATGTCTTTAGAGAAACATTTACTTCACTTAATCACGTACAACTGCGTATTTTATATCCAATTGCAAATAAAAAAAGTTTGTGTTTACCAACATCAACACAATTTCAAAATAACCATCAATCGAAATATGAATATCGTAAATATTTACCATCAGGAATTATACCTGAGAAAGCGAAAATAATATTTGTATCAATTAATCGATATGAAAGGAAAAAGAATCTTTCATTGGCTTTGTACAGTCTTGGTAAGTTAATAATAATAATAATAAAGTATACAAAAATAATGTCAAAACTATACTGAATGATAAATCAGTATTACCAGGGTAGGTTAAGTGTAAGAAAAAATTGTTTATGAGCACATAAAAGATCTCTTAGTTTTCGTATAGCCTTCTCGTGGCAGGGGTGTCCTTTACGAAATTGATAGGACGAAAAGCCAATGTACGGCGCCTTAACCGGGTTGGTGGACACGGATAGTCCACCTAGGGGAGTTGGAAAACCCTTATTCCAAACCAATGGTGCACATGGACTGGCTCCAGTATCCTGAGGGAACAAATGGCTTATGAATCGATCGTTGGTCACCGACTACCATGGGACTGCATCTCCTCACAATGCTCCACTGCCTTGTAGATCAGACCTTTAGGTCAAAGGCTCGGGGTGTGGCCCCCTAAGAAAACCACCTGCTTTAGTTTGGGCACCTGAGCAGTATCACAGCCCTCACACAAATCAAATGAGATTTGTGTGGCGCATATGTATGTATTATTTATTTATTTAAACACATAAATATTGGTACAATGAAGCACCAGATACATATGCGCCTCACAAATCTCATTCGATTTGTGTGAGGGCTGTGATACTGCTCAGGTGCCCAGACTGAAGCAGGTGGTTTTCTTAGGGGGCCACACCCGTAGCCTTCGACCCAAAGGTCTGATCCACAAGGCAGTGGAGCATCGTGAGGAGATGCAGTCCCATGGTAGCCGTTGACCAATGACAGGTTCGTCCGCCATTCGTTCCATCAGGATACTGGAGCCAGTCCATGTGCACCATTGGTTTGGAATAAGGGTTTTCCAACTCCCCTAGGTGGACTATCCGTGTCCACCGACCTGGTTAAAGCGCCGTACATTGCCGTTTAGTCCTCTCACTTTCGTAAACAACACCCCCGCCACGAGAAGGTAGTGAGTAGGACTTCCCTGGCAGAGGCTATATATTCGCTGGCCACATGAGAGTATTTCAAGAGGGATTGGTGACTCTCCCCACTCTCGGCCGTACCAGGGCATTTGGGGGTTTCCTTGTACCAATATTTATGTGTTCAAATAGATAAATAGCCAAAGCCTCAATAAACCTTAGTATACTCCCTTGAAAACTTGTGCTAAACTACAAAGGCTGACCTGATACCAACCTTATGGCAGGTCTCAATCAAATATTTCGCACTCTAGGAAGATGTTTGTCTATCCTGTGATCTTATTCAACCATTGAAATCCATATTTTCCTGTGGCCATTTAAGTATGTGTTCAATAAAATTAATTTAGATTGAACAAGATATTTGTTACTGTAATATGATAAACCAGGAAAAACAGATTGGTCAGTTACGTCACAAGCAGTCAATTCCTAACCTGTTTATATGGAATATTAAGTAATGTAATCCACAAAAAGTATCAGTTTGCTCAAGATTGGAGATACGTCTCGTGCAACTATCACTATCTTATTAATTTTTTTAATTATTTGGTTACAAAAAGTAACTTACACTAAGAAAAAAAACTATTCATTTTGAACTTTTGTTATTTATGAGCCGCATCTTTGTGCTAATATGGCGTGGCAACTCGAACTGATGTACCTACGTACGAAGTTCTACGTTGTGACTGACTGACTGTTATTTATACACTTCTCTTGTTTTATTTCTATAGAATACTTGATCACACATTGGGATCAGCTGATTGATTCAACAGTTGAAATAAAACCGCAAAATGTTCATTTAATCATAGCTGGAGGTTATGATCGTCGTGTTATTGAAAATGTAGAGTATTATACCGAATTGGTTAGCTTATCACAAACATTAAAAGTAAGTGAAAAATAACAAATATATATTTTTCTCTAATTAATTACATTTTAGCTTCAATTTGGAAAGTGATTTGATTGAATTCAAGGCACTTCCTAGATTGTTTTGCTTTATAACTCATCGAATATAGATTCATGTACTGGGCTTAAAGTTACACTCTGTATGTGGGAGTCAGTGATACTACCCTGATTGCTCAAGTCAGGTGGAAGTTAGACCTGCACTCTATTAGTAGAGAGTTGAACTCCTTAACCATTAATCCACTTTTCCGACTACCAGTCCATGAAGGCATTGACAAATGGATTGAGCCATGTTAAAAGGCGTAGACTGTCTGGTTGGGATCCTCGTGATTATCGTAACCAATGGTTGAAGACTTTGAATGATATGGCTCAAAATCGTTTGCAATGGTCTAGTTACATCAATTTTTTGTCTTCCACTAGATTCTAAGTTTCTGAATTCCTCATAATCTTTTTACTTCACTGGTTTATATTTCCTTGAGTCGTATCTTCCATGCCTAATCCTTTCTGTTACTACCCCTACTACTCTGGAATTTGACCTGACAATTTCATGTTTCTGCGCTCATGGTGTGTGGTAACTTGAACCGATATACATACGTAGCAATCCCTATGTTGCACCTCACTGACTGACCTTCAATACCCAGGTCTTCATTAGATTTATGGATTTAAATTCTGTGTTATCTTGATTTCGCTTATCGTTCGTCATCAAAACATGCATTTACACGCTGAAATGCAATGACAAAGAGTCGAACCCAGGACTTTCGGATATGAGAGACATTTATCCGCTGATGATTCACATGTAACAGCTGTAGATCAAATAACATGGTCCTCCTTCAGCAGCTTCGAGGAGAATATGAACAGTTTCTGTGCAGCACAAACTTTCAGAATTCATCCTCGATGTAATATTTGGCATCCTCCTGCAACTCAAATCTACATTCAGATTGATAATATTGCAGTCAACTACTTCTGGACTATATCCTTATATGCGCCAAACTTGAGTTTTGATTGTGTGGTATCCAATACTGGTATTGATACAAAAGCTTTCTATATGGAAGCCCAAATAGCTGAGTGAGAGGAAAACTTTATTAACTAGACCTGATCAAGAGATGAATGTACGCTCATGTGTGTTTGTCCCCTGAAAGTTTTTGCCCTGTGTCAAACCAATGGTGTATCTCGTGTTGTGAAAAAGCAAACCAAATCTTCCACAATAGCGTGTGCCTACTATCTGACCGATGTCTGATTGGTTCATTGTATCTGGTCGCCAGCAAATGTTTCGTCCTAAACAAACGGAATCTTATATCGTAACTAGATCTCAGACCGACCTAGGTTGAAGACTAGCTTCCAGTCCATTGAAAACCGTGTTTGGCGAATTTTCTCAGAATTAATATGTGTTAAATACATGTACTTAAAAAAACAAAATGTTTTTTGTTGTAATCGTTTGGATAGATGCATCAAATTAAAGAAATACCATGTTTAGTTAGTAACGAATGAGCATTTTTTGCAGGTTTCGGAAAATGTTACTTTCATGCGTTCGTGCTCATCCGAAATCAAACCTTTGTTAATTGCCTCCAGTGATGCGGTAATTTACACCCCAGATAAGGAGCATTTTGGAATTGTCCCTATTGAAGCAATGTTGTTATCTCGAGCAGTCATTGCATTGGATTCTGGTGGTCCTAAAGAAACTGTTTTGAATGGTTCTACAGGATTTCTATGTACCGTGCACCCAATAAACCAACTTCCACAAACTATGGCCAACTACCTTAGCAAGTACGCTTCTCTTTACCTTTTTACAACCTATTCTTATCCTGCTCAGTGTACATGTCGTGACCACCTGAGATGTTCGCGACTTACTGATTTACTTCATAGTCTGCGCTCAACCCCAGAGTTCCTCATTTAGTTATACACTAATGTTTCAAAGATATGTTTATGTTCTACATCTTAATATCTACGTTAAAATTCCGGTCGTTCTACCTTATTTTGGGTACCCAAGTAATATCGTCAGCTCTCAGGAAGTTCAGAGCTGAGTATACAAGTCTGTGACTGATGTCCTATATATTACCTTGTGCTCCCCCCAGTGGCTTTGATTCATGTCTGTTGACTATCACACTAGTCATTTTTCCGATTAATAGCTGGATATTAGACGCCCAGCGCATACCTGTTAAAGTTAAGTAAACTATTGTATCAACTTTGTTAGTCCCCGTTCCACTAAATTCCCCGAGCTTTCCCAATGGTCTACGGCTTTAACTACAATTTAAATTGTCAAGTTAAGCACCAATACAGGATGTGCAATCACCTAAATAACTATTGTAGTTTCGTATAGAGCGTTCTGATTCAAAAACAAATTTTATATAATTTTGTGGTTTGGAGGATGATAATACAATTCAAGAACTACGATAAACTTCAGAACAACTGACAATCATTCGCAAATCGACTTTATGGGCTTCATCAAATCAAACTTTAATTATTCTAGCACTAAATAATACCTTTCCGTCTTATTCGAATTCGCTACACTCTATAAAAAAATTATTGTGTTTATTTCAGATTTGTCAATGATCCAGAGCTTGCAGATCGTTTGGGGAAGGCGGGGTGTGAACGAGTTGATGAGAAATTTTCATCTATAACTTTTAAAAGAGAATTACAAACAATCGTAACTGATTTGATAAACAAAGACCAAGGATAAAAATAGTTGTCTACATGTGAAACATTTTAATTTTTATTAACTTTCCATAAATATTCAGTTGTCTTTCATTACAAGGCAGTGTTCCAATATACGTAATTTTGATGAAATGCTGTTTATCAAAATTTTCCCACTAGACTGTTTATTTGTATTGGTCAACGTAAATTTACACTTGGATAATTTTCATCTTACTCCCTAAATGATGGATACAAGTAATTCTTGACTTCAAATCTTGTTCCTTACTAATCATAATAGCATACATATTTTGATGTATCAAATAATATAAAATATATATAAAACACACACCAGATAAGTTAATTGTATTTGATGAAAGCAAAAGTAGAAAAATATAGACTGAAAGTTAGTTTTCCGAAGACCGAGGTTCGTGATCATGGCTCAAAAGAATGGATTCGAGAAATGTTTACCAACTGAGATTTGTTTGGAGTTATTGAAGATAATACAGAAATGTTTAGGAAACCATTATTTCAGCTGACGATTCTTTTACGTTAGGAAGTATATTTTCCTAAAGTATGTCAGATTAAAGCGAATCGAACTTACCATATCATAAATAACACGCACGTAAAGAGAACAGCTTGGACATCGTGCTATATCATCACCACACAGTAAATCTTCCTACAGAACGAATAACTCAGAACTCTATAAAATAAACTAACCTTGGTAATTAAAAATCGATCACCACACGGACAAGGATACGAATACGTTTCTGATTCTTCATCATACTCCATATCCTCGATTTCTATTTCATCATGAAATACAGACATCACTGATCAAATGTCCATCAGTGATTCTTGAGAGCGATTGTTTTATGAGATTGCACAATATGTCTAAAAAAATTAGTTAAAAATTTAGTGTAAGATATTGTAGGCGAGATTTTCGCAAATCTTTTAGGTATCTAATAATAGCTTAAATAAAATAACTTGTTCAGCAAGACAGAGTAAAGTCAAATTATATGTGTAAACATTTCCGGGCTCATGCAATGATCGGAAACAATACTGATCAGCATAAGCGAAAGGAGGCAATAGCAATAAGCATTATATGATAGGTTTACATGGAGCCGCTAGTCCTTAATGGTAATGCAACGCCCATATTCTTTAATTTTCAGTCACAATTACTGGTGACGGCAACCTTAATTATATTAATGTTAAGAACGATAGAAAGGTGGTTTCTTAGTGTGAGGGATTACTTGGGAGGATGAAAAGGGAAGCCATTGCACGAGTTGAGTGAGCTTTTCCTCACTATGTCAATGGGAATACGTTCGTAAGGTGCTGCAAGACTAGCACGTCAGAAGTGGCTGAAAATCTTAAAGAGGCATGTATACTTTGTGTATCAACGTTTCTGAGTAATACTTTTTAAATATATCTACTTTCAGTAAATAATAAGATCAAAACAAACGTACATGTATGGGATGATATGAGAACTGACACGAGTTTAAACTTTTCTACACGTGCTTTTGTGCTACAAGATAACTAGTATGAAAAAGCATAGTGTGACCTATGGATGGGGTGGAATATTGTTAAAAGATTTCAGTGCAATAAAATAAGATCTGATGGCTAAGAGACATTCCATTATGTTGGATTGCCTTTCCTTGATTTGTCTGCCTTATTTCTTCTTGATTGTAGTTGTAGTTCAATTTTAATTCTCATAACCTGTCTGTACGAAAGTCTAGCAAGCTTGAAAGAGGTAATACTCTGGGAAATCGTCAACATAATGAGGAATTTATACGACAAACTACACTGCAAAGTCGTGAGTGGAGAATAGCTGACAGACTCATTCAAAGTGAGGAATGGAGCCAGACAACGCCGATTACTTTCGTCTGGTAGTTGACTGGATTATGAAGCCCTCAACGTGAGGGCATAAAATACGATGGACAGCTTAGGTGCAACTAGACGATTTGAACTTCGCAGATGACTTAGTTCTTCTATCCCATACACACCAACGAATGCAGGTGAGGAAGACCAGGATGAATAGCAACTGGTAAAGATTAGCCAGGATAGAGTTCGATGTACAATGTTGTTAGACGGCCTAGTGTCCACGAGGTTTAACAGGTATAATTAGTGTGTGATCATTTTTTCTCACTTCATTATACCAACAACAGCCGATACCCAGATGTTTCCAGCCAACAAATTATACTTTCATTATCTTTGAAATGAAACTAACGAACGTAAAATAAGTTCAAACGTTTCGATTATTTGTGTAGAGCAACTCGTTCCTAAGTTAGTAAGTTTGATTTTTCTTTTCCTAAATATAATCGTTTCACGACTTATAATCACTATACAGATTTGGCTTTATCTCACCCTAATACGACAAAATAACTTTCTCTATAAATACGATAAACGAATCTGCATTATGTTAATGCATAATAAATTTTGAAACTGCTGCAACTTGTAATTATCCAGGTTTCAATTTTCGCCTTGCAATATACACACCGAATAACAATCTGCATAAGTGAAAACATCCGTATATATAAGTTCTTATATCTTCCCTCTACAATTCTCCTACCTGTAAATATATTTTCTAACGTCCACGTCCTATTATTAGTTACGGAACATCTGTTCATTGTGTACACTGTTACAACCAAGCAATCTATATACGGCTCGTGACAATTCGTGTGCGAAAGTAAAATATTCTTTTTGAATTACAAATTCATTGCCCTCATTTTTCTTGTCTTCCAAAACAGAAAATCTACGAGGACACTCCAAAAAAGTTCACAAGCCCAGAACGAATTACTTGTCAGCTGACTACCGACTTTCCCATCGAATAATCAACGAGTGGAATTCATTACCTCAGCACGTGGTTGAGGCTCCATACGTCGACTCCTTCAAAAGAAAGTTGGATCAGCTGAGAGACCATCAATGCCAGGACTAACACAGGCCATCAAGCCTCCTGTCTTTTCCAAACTGAAATATGTTGGATAGACGCCCTTATCGTAGAGAAAAATGAGAGTAACATTAGCGATACAATAATTAAAAAGGTTGCCCATGTGTGGCGTTTTTCACGTTATATTTCGGTCTGTTTCGTCCAAAAACATCCCTGTTAATCGCTGTTTTGCCCTCAAAAATTCCTTTTTCTCGTTAGCTTAAGATGGGGCGTAACTTTATCTAAACTGACCAGATATCCGTATAAAACGTTTATCTTTACCCTGCAAAGTGGGTCAATTAAGGAATTCGGAATCTACATCACTAGTAATAACGGAAAGTAACCCATTTTTTGAACTAATAAGAGGTGGGATGCAACTCACGCAACGCAGCAGACAATCTAGCGGCAATAATTAAATGGGTTCAAATGGTTGAGGACGGAATAGAAGAAGCTTTCGCTTAACGGGCTTCCGTGTCAGGTAGCAGTGGATCACCAATACCTCCAGGCAAGAACCTAGGTATATGAACGATAATAGATGGAAAAAAACAATTTGGTAAATCATAATAATATGTTATCCTTAGTCCTTAAGAATAAGTCAAGTTTTCTCTTAAAGGACTCCTGGGAGGTCGCTTGGACTAGCTCAGTCGGCAGCGAATTCCAGCACTTGACAACTCTAACGGAGTAGAAGTTGTGCCTGCAGTCTGTTCTGCTATGTAGGGTCTCCAATTTCTGGGTGTTACCTCTGAGGTTAGTGTTATGACTAAGCTTAAGAAGATGTTTAAGGGGATGACCAGAAGTATTAAGGATACTATAAGTCATAAGAAGATCACCTCTAAGACGCCTATACTCTAACGGGTAAAGGTTAAGTGATTTGAGGCGCTCTTCATAAGGTTTGAATTTGAGACCCCGAAATGATTTCGTGGCTCGACGTTGTATACGTTTCAAAGTGACCTTATCCTTTTGGAGGGAGGAAATACTATGTTTCCGTACTCTAAGTGGGGACGAATAAAACTGTTGAAGATTATATGGAAGGTTCTACCGTCAAACTGGCCAAAAATGCGCTTCAATGTTACCAGTGCAAGGTTTGCTTGAGATGCGTTTTTGTCACAGTTCGCATACGATTTCAGGTCGTAGGGTACCAACACTCCTAAATCTTTTTCTACTTGGGATACTTCCAGAGAATAGTTTCCTAAGTTGTAACTATAGTCTGCAACATGTCTCAGATGGACTACCTTGCACTTTGAAGTGTTGAAGGTAAGTCCGTTGTCGTCTGCCCAACTTTGTAGTCGAGTCAGATCCTCCTGAAGAACTAGTATATCATTATGATTACGTATCTCTCTCCAAAGTTTCAGATCATCTGCAAAAAACAATAAGTCAGATGAAACTTGTTGAGGAAGATCGTTAATATAAATCAAGAAGAGAAGAGGTCCTAATATTGAACCCTGGGGGACCCCATTAGCATATTCCATAACCTGAGAGGGAGAGAAGTTAACCATGAGCTTAAAGTGTCCGTTTTCTAAATCTGAAGAGAGCCAATCAATTAAAGGGGGTTTTATACCCAATCGTCCAAGCTTCTTGATAAGACATGCATGGTTGACCCTATCAAAAGCTTTTGAGAAGTCCAGGTAGATGACGTCAACCTTCCCCTTGCGATCAAGGATGGTTGTCCATCTATCCACCGCAGTCAGCAGGTTGGTCATACAAGAATGACCTTTTCTGAAACCATGCTGTTGAGGCGAGAAGAACTTTGAGGATGATAAGTGTTCTAGTATGCCGTCGAATACTAGGGATTCCATAATTTTTGAAGGTATGGAAGGTATGAAGGTATGGTTAAATGGTCCATAACAAATTAAAAGAAGCTTTCGCTCAACGGGTTTCTGTATTTAGAAGCAATGGATCCGCAAAGTCTCCATGTAGGGACCTAGGTATACTTAACAGTAATAAGAAAACGTCAGTACGGTTGTAGTGAAGCACTGTCCTCAGTTCTTAAAAAATGTGAAGTTTTCTTTTTAAGGACACCAAGAAAGTCGCCTTAACCACCTCAGTCAGCAGCAAAGTCCAGAATTTGACTAATCCTAAAGATTAAAAGGCGTGCTTACGTTCTATTCTGCCATACTGTGTTTCTAACTTCTGTTTTTATCCGCTAAAGTTTTTGCTGGAACTTGAATTAATTAGGTATTTTGAGGTTGTTCAGGTGTGTTTGAGTAGCTGTTATTCATTTAGGCGGTTTCTGCTGCGACATCTATGACTAAGTCAGTATTTTTTAATTTCCATCAGTACAGTTTGTTCGTGAAATTCTACTTGACATAAGGAGCCGTAATTTTTAAAAATGTTCTGCCCTACAGACACGTGTGGATTGAAGTTTTCCACCACCATCATGTATGGTGGTCAGTAAAACCACTCTTTTGCCTTTTGTGATGTTAGGCTCTCTTACTTTTGTGGTGAGTATGAATATTGTTTTAATCAAAGCCAGTAGCTGGAATACAATGTTCAAGGATGAATAGTTAAGGTATAACTAGTTAGTCTATTCCTCTGTTAATAAGGTACTTATTGGGCAAAAAATTGTGGACGTTTAAATGATGTCTTTTCAACGTTACGCAATGGCGGCAAAGTGATTGTTTGTTATGATAGTGAGAATAACCTGATAAAGAGGAGAGCATTTAGTACGTGCACGAAAATTGAAACGTATGGCCGTTTTCCTGAAGTTATTTGCCTGGATTCAACGTACAACACAAAGAGTAGAAAGTAATTACCAGTGTTCTGCTTGACAAGCTTCCCTAGTTATAGACTCTTTCACCTGGCTTCGACAGGAAACTGTGGACGTGGAGCGCCGATTGATTGATTGGACGAAGGAAGGAAGGAAGGAAGATAGTTGTAGTATGGATCATGAGTCACTTCAAACTCATCATTAAGAGCATTAGTAGGACCGAAACGTTTGTGATAGATTGTGCAAGACTCATCATATGTGCTGTGAAAACTGCAACATGTGATCGATAAACGAACCAATTAGGGATAAAGTGAAACACTCACCACCGCATTGGATTTCTTCGACCTTATATGACTATGTGTTGTTTATCCATTAATCACAATTTTATGTTCATCGCTAAACAATATTCGCCTTGTTGACTCATTTTTCCTATCCTCTATTTACTGCTCGGTATTTTATTTTTGTCTCTCATTTTCCCTATTTAATAGACTTCACCGTTTATTTGTATACTAACGTTGTTAATTTAAGTTTTTGAAACAGATGAAGTTTATTAAGCCATATAGCTTACTTTTTCTGACTTCGATAGTCTAGAGAATAGCAAAGAGTCTCTCACACATTGCTTCCTACAGCTAGGGTAGGCAAAGCAAACACCATATTGCTACAATTGAAGAACGTGTGGAACTCAAAAGAACTGCCAACCAGTATCAACGTGAGAGCCTTCAATACGAACGTCAAGACAGTTAGTTCCACTGTGCGGAGCTGAAACGTTGAAAACTACTACATCCATCGTCAATAAGGTACAGGTATTTATAAATAGTTGTCTACTCTAGATACTTAGTGTCTGTTGGTCGGATGCCATCAACAATAGCCTACTATGGGAGAGAACAAACCAGCTTACAGCTGAAGAGAAAATCAGAAAAAGACGATGGAAGTGGGTAGGGCATACATTACGGAAATCATCAAACTGCATCACAAGGCAATGGTGAATGGAAGCGGAAAACAGGAAGGCCAGAGAACGCATTACGTCGGGAAATAGAAGCAGATATGAGAAGGATGAATTGTAACTGGAAAGAACTGGAAAGGATTGCTCAGGACAGGGTTGGATGGAGAATGCTCTTGGCTGGCCTATGCTCATCCACGAGGGGGACACAGGCCTAAGTAGGTGATCAGCAGCACACTTCGTGTCTCAAGCTAGCTTATGGTATATAAGATATTTCTAGCTTTATATGAGTTAGATTTCAGCATGCCACAGAAAACAAAACCAAGTTAAATTCATAACTTCCAACATTACAATAAGATTACTGTTTTGATCCTTTTCAGTTTGTGTCCAGGATTTCTACTGAAATAAAATGGGAAATTGCTTCCTACATCAGTAACCCACCGCAACACCCATTTAGCTATGTGTTCATTCCACGTGAGTAGGGCTATATGTAAGAAGACCCGTATTCCAATAATAAAGTTGAAGATACCACCAGTATTGTAGTTTGGCAACTCTTTACCAGTAAAACCTTCTATAATCGAATCGAATTGAAAGATATATTTGATCGGTTATCAATATATCGAGAAGTGACTGATCTAATCTTACTAATGATAGTAGGTGTTTCCCATGCCGTTATGTTACGTGATCCGGTATGGATGCATGACCGAGCGCCTTCAGCTAAATGAGTCCATTAAAACTAATGTTATCAGCATCCCATGTCGAACACTTACAGAGCTATTGGTTTTGGGGAATTATTTACCGCTACAAAGTAGTAACTGTGTCAGCTTTTCCGTGAACAATCAGATCCGACGGTTAGTCAGTGTTCGAAGCAGACGCATCACGACTTATTTAAACAAAACCTGGATGAATCGGAAACGAAACCGTGATGAAGCCTCAACAGTGATGTTGTTACCTTGGGTAACAATGCAAATAACAGCTATGAAAGCTGACATAGACAAATAAAGTGGGAGTTGTGTAACCAAGATTCGTTGAGCAAATGTATGAGGAAGACATTCACATAGCAAAGAAAAATGAGCAAACCCAGGTCATTGCAATCCAGTTTGCATTATAGTCATAAATGTAGGTTTTTTGCTCCACAGGTTTTAAAGCATCACTTAAGCATGTTGACTACACACGCCGGGTTTCTAGCCCTTAAAGACCATGAAAAGAAAGGGTTAGTGTGCACTGAAAACAGTAGGTCTGTTGAATTGTGATCTGCTTTGTTTTTAGTACTGTTCTAATAATAGACCTATCCCTAAAATTGTAGGTTTGTCATGATGTAAATGACTCATCTATAATATCTTACGCGAAGGTCACACCATTGTTTACACTGACTCATCGTATCGTAAGAATCGACAATGTATGATGGAGAACACATTCAGACTGAAGATAAAACCATATATTTGGTATGAATAAAAGGTATGGCCCAAACAAGAATAATCACGCCTGTAAGGCCGAGCCATGTATTTCGACGAGCTTAATTTCGACTGGATGTCCTCGCGTCCATTATTATTGATCCTCTCTTAGTGTTACGTGTTAAAAGTCCATTTCCCCAGCTATCTCATGTTCAGTTTTGGATATTGTAGTTAGGATCCAATGTCTCTACAAGTCAATATTTGTCTTCTTCGTGGACTGTAGTCTCTGTCCTATAGTATATCTGAACGACGACATTTGCACATGCCATGTATTCCAAACGTGTCGAATTTCATGTTGGCACATGGTAGAGTGAGTGTCTGATAAACTGAAATTCGCAGTTG